CCCTGTTGTCACAAATGACAGAATTTCATTCTGTTTTATGGTTGACTGGCATTCCATTGTGTATATATACCACATTTTCTTTATTCATTCATCCATAGATGGATACTTTGCTTGATTCCATATCCTGGCTATTGTGACTAGCACTGCAATACATGTATGAGTGCAGATACTTCTTCGATATACTGATTTCATTTCCTTTGGATATATACTTAGTACTGGGATTTTGCCAGATCACATTGTAGTTCTAATTTTAATTTGTGAGGACCTCTATACTGTTTTCCAATAATGGCTGTATTGATTTAAATTCCCACCATTGTGTATAAGAGTTCCTCTTTCTTCAGACTCTTGCCAGAATTTGTCATTGTTTGTCTTTCTGAAAAGAGTCATTTTAACTGGAGTGAGGTGGTATCTCGTGGTTTTGATTTGCATTTCTCTGATGATTAGTGATGCTGAAATTTTTTTCATGTTTGTTGGACATTTGTCTTTTTTTGAGAAATATCAATTCAGCTCTTTTGTTGACTTTTAAATCAAACTATTTGGGGTTTTCTGCTATTGAGTTGTTTGAGTTCCTTACATAGTCTAGAGTTTAACACCTTGTTAGACACATAGTTTGCAATTACTTTCTCCTATTCTGTAGGTTGTCTATTGACTCTATTGATTGGTTCCTTTGCTATGCAGAAGCTTTTTACATTGATGTAATCCCATTTGTCTATTTTTGCTTTTGTTGCCTGTGCTTTCGAGGTCTTATAAAAAAAATCCTCCCAGTTAAATTTCATAAAGTATTTCCCCTATACTTTCTTTCAGTGGTTTCATAGTATCAGTTCTTACATGTAATTCATTAATCCTTTTAGAGTTGATCTTTGTATATGGTGAGAGATGAGAACTCTAGTTTTTGTTCTTTTGCCTGTGGATATCATTTTTCCAGCACCATTTATTGACCAGACTGTCCTTTTTCCCAGTGTGTGTTTTTGGTGCCTTAGTCAAAAATCATTTGGCTGTAAATGCATGGATTTATTTCTGGATTTGCTGTCGTGTTCCATGGGTCTATATGTGTTTTTAGACTAGTGCCATGCTGTTTTAGTTACTACAGTAGTATACTTTGAAGTCAGGTAATATGATGCTTTCAGTTCTTTGTTCTTTTTCCTCTAGGTTACATTGGCTATTTGGGATCTTTTGTATTTCCATATGAATTTTAAGATGTTTTTCTATTTCTGCAAAGAATGCTCTGATATTTTGATAGACAGTGTATTGAATCTGTAGATCGCTTTGAGTAATATGGATATTTTAACAATATTAATTCTTCCAATCTGTGAACACAGGATATCTTTCCATTTATTTGTGCCTTCCTCAATTTCTTTCATCAATGTTTGTAATTTTGATTGCAGAGATCTTTCACCTTGTTGATGAAATTTATCCTTAGGTATCTTATAACTTTTTGTAGCTGTTGTATTTGGGATTACTTCTTGATTTTTTTTTCCAGCTAGTTCATTATTGGTGTATAGAGACACTACTAAATTTTGTATGTTGATTTTGCTTCCTGCAGCTTTACTAAATTAATTTATTAGTTCTAACAGTTTCTTGATGGGGTCCCTAGGGTTTTCTAAATTTATGATTATGTTATCTGCAGATGGGAGCAACTTGACTTCCTCCTTTCCAATCTGGATGCCCTTTATTTATTTCTCTTGGCTAATTGCTCTAGCTACAACTTTCAGTACTGTGTTGAATAGAGTTGGAGAAAGTGGGCATCTTTGTCTTGTTCCAGGTCTTAGAGGAAAACTTCAACTTTTTGCTGTTCAGTATGATGTTAACTGTGCGTTTTTCATACATAACCTCTGTTGTGTTGAAATATGTTCCGTCTATACTTAATTTGTTGAGTTTTTATCATGAGGGATGTTGAATTCCATTGAATTCTTTTTAAGCATCTATTGAAATGATCAAGTGGTTTTTGTCCTTGATTCTGTAAAGGTGATATATCGCATTTACTTATTTGCCTGTTTTGAACCATCCTTGCATCCCTGGGATGGGTCTCACTTGACCATATTGCATGATCATTTTAATATATTATTGAATTTGGTTTGGCAATATTTTGTTGAGGAGTTTTAGAGCTATGTTTATCCTGGAATATAGGCCTGTAGTTTTATTGTTGTTACGCCTCTGGTTTTGGTATCAGGATAATGCTGGCCTATAAAAAATGACTTTAACAGACTTCCCTTTTCTTTTTTTTTTTTTTTTTTTTGGAATAGTTTGAGCAGAATTGATGTTAGTCTTTAAGTATTTGGTGGAATTTAGCAGTGAAACCATCAGGTCCTAGGCTTTTCTTTGATAGAAGGCTTTTCATTACTGCTTCAGTCTCATTACTTGTTATTGGTCTGCTCAGGTGTATTTCTTCATGATTCAGTCTTGGTAAGTTGTATATGTTCATGCATTTATTTGTTTCTTCCAAGTTTTATAATTTGGTGGATAGTTGTTCATAATAGTTCCTTATAATTCTTTATATTTCTGTGGTATCCGTTGCAGTGCCTTCTTTTTTATTTGATTTTATTTATTTAAGTCTTCTCTCTTTTTTCTTATTCCAGCTAAAGGGTCGTTGATTTTGTTTATCTTTTCTAAAAATCAGCTCTTTGTTGCATTGATCTTTTGCATTTTTAAGTCTTTATTTTGTTTATTTCTGCTCTTGTTTTTATTATTTCTTTCCTTCTACTTATTTTGGGTTTAGGTTGTCTGTACTATATTCCAAATAATTTCTTTGCATGTGTATTCCAGTTCAATAATTCTCTCTGTATTTAATTGTATATAATGTATCTCTTATTTAACTGTATTTAATGTTTTAACTTGTTTAATTTCTAATTTTACCTATTATTTCTTTTATCGTTATAAGTTCCATTTGGTACTTTAAAAAATCTGTCTGTCAATTCCAATGCACTATTGTTTTTAAATTATAGTTTAAATTTCCCAAATTTCTTAAACATATTAAACACATCTACTTTATATTTTATGTACAATAATTCTTCTATCTGGAGTTTTTGTGGCCTGAGTCTTCAGTCTGTTGTTTTTCTGAACTCTTAACCTTCTTTACGGTGACTTACTTCTTCATTGATGATCTTTTATTGTATGTTCATGTTGCTTGGAATTTTTTTCTGTGGAATTTTTCTGAGGCTGAGTTTGAACGGCATTCTTCTAGGAATATTTGTGGCATTTGTGTTTGCTTTTGACAGGGATCTGGGGCATTACCAACAGGAAATACTTTCAACTAGATTTTCAGTTGAAGTTTTTTTGGGTCATACAGGTAGTATAAATTCCGGTCTCAAATGTGAGTAAATACAGAGTAGAGGTTAGAAGATTTTCTTTTTTTCTCTTCTCTCCAAAGTCAAGACTGAGAACGCCAGGGTTCCTTCTGAAGACAGAGCACTTCCTGGTTTATCCATTGATGGTATTACCCTGAAGAATATCAACTCTGCACTTGAGTCTCTAATTCAACCTTCCAGCCTGCTCTAGCCCTATGCATTATCCCTGTCTCCCACAGCCTTGTAGCTCATTGAAACCCAGCTCTAGTCATTAGGGATTATCAGATAACCTGACAGCAAACACTATTTCAAGCTCTCACTCTTGTAGAATCTTTTTTTATTGTTTCTTGTCTCTTATGTTTTCCCTTTCACTTTACTTTCATTTCAGCCATGATCTATTAGATATTTTATTCATCACTCTTAAATGTTCTTTACTGGGAGAAGTTTTCTGCACATCAACTATGCTATGAGTAATATAAAAAGCAAGTGAAATGTAGAACACAAAGTGGGGTTTTTGATATATCTGTATCTACAAATAGATATATCATTACCCTGTTTCTAAATTACTATGTTAGTGACTATTAGCAGCAATAACTCCCTATGTTATCCACTCTCCAAAAGCAGTTATGGATTATGGTATTCACGTAAAATTAGCCTGGTTAACATATGGCTTCTGATTCACACAAGTTTGTGATGGGTATGGTGCTCTGAAGCCAGAGAATGGTGCATACATACTTAATGGCCCAGTATGGAAGTACTTTGGAATGATGGTCTAAATGCTGAAAATACTTAAATATTTGAAATAATTTTTGCTTAATTTGAACTCAGTGAACTTAATTGAACATATAGTATTAGGCATAATACTGAATAGTTGTCTTAGTAGAGTAGAATGTATGTAACTTCTGACATTAGAGGCATCAGTTCAAATCCTAACAAACTTATTGAGAATACATAATGAAAACATGTTTATGTGATACATCTTAGAAGTGTAAAGTATTTTCCATATGTTACTTTTCCAACACTGTAGTGCCAGGGACACAGAAAGCACTCAATAATCTTTTGTTGAAACAATGAACTAAGGGTTGTTATCATCCCAGGTACCTTTAGATATTTATTTTATTTTTATTTTGTTGAGACAGAGTCTCTTGCTCTGTTGCCCAGGCTAGAGTGCAGTGGCATGATTTTAGTTCACCGCAATGTTCACCTCCCAGGTTCAAGCAATTCTCTGGCCTCAGCCTCCCGAGTAGCTGGAACTACAGGTGTGCACCAGCACAGTAGGCTAATTTTTGTATTTCCAGTAGAGATGGAGTTTCACCATGTTGGTCAGGCTGGCGTCAAACTCCTGGTCTCAAGTGATCTGCCTGCCTTGGGCCCCTAAATTGCTGGAATTATAGGCATGAGCCATAGCCCAGCTGCCTTCAGACTTTTCTAAAGAAAGAAAACCTCATGTTAATAAAAATGCTTTAATCATTACTTTTATCATTAATGATCTTGATATAGTTAATATCTTAAGTACTATGAAATATGGTAATTAAAATGGCTATATATTTAAACTTGAAAACAGTTTTAGCATAGCATTATTTGCTATGAAATACTTACTGCAGTTGCCTGTAGATTATTGGGGTAGACACTAAGGAGCTCCTCAGGAGGGTTTAAAGGTTTGAGATAACGTGTGATAAAAACAGTTTTTCCATTTATATCAATTACTGTTGTAAGGCACTGACGATTTGGGAACTTGAAGGCACATTCAGCTTGAAACTTCTCACTTGCTTGAAGTAATTTCTCATCTTCCTGAGACTCAAACTTCAAAAAGAAACACTTCATAGAGTTTATATATGATTACAAGAGAGAAAGTGCATGTTCAGATTCCACAGTCAACACACGCATTAAATGTATGGTTTGGTAATTATGACCTACTCCTTACAAAGCATGTCCTGCTGTCCCTGCAGCTTTATTTATATTAAATTTGTAGTTTGAAAATTAGACTGACTCATTTAATACTTAAAATATATTTGAAAGGACTGAAAGAAAGTAGTTAACAGGCAAACAGCCATATGGAAACTACTACATTAATGAAATAATCTAAGAAAATTAAACTGATATATGAATTCTGATTGATGAGGCTATAATTAGGTAATAGAGTTTTGTGTGTATCTTGATGTTGGTTTTAAGCATGCCGGCTGGGGAGGCCTCAGAAAATCTAACATCTCAAATGCAAATCTTAAGCAACTCATGTTAAATGGACAGCAAATTTATGAATCTATATCAATGTGCTAAAACGTTTCAAGTCTATAAGAAGTACTGTTATAAATAATGGTAATGCATCTCAAAGGAAAAAAGAGGCGGAACTAGAAACATCAAATTTATAAGAATTATTATTTTTTATTTTATTTTATTATTATTTTTTTTTGAGACGGAGTTTCCCTCTTGTTACCCAGGCTGGAGTGCAATGGCGCGATCTCGGCTCACCACAACCTCCGCCTCCCGGGTTCAGGCAATTCTGCCTCAGCCTCCTGAGTAGCTGGGATTACAGGCACGCGCCACCATGCCCAGCTAATTTTTTGTATTTTTAGTAGAGACGGTGTTTCACCATGTTGACCAGGATGGTCTCGATCTCTTGACCTCGTGATCCACCCGCCTTGGCCTCCCAAAGTGCTAGGATTACAGGCGTAAGCCACCGTGCCCGGCCAACTTTTTTTTTTTCTGAGGCAGGGTCTTATTCTGTCGCCTAGGCTGCAGTACAGTGGCACAATTACAGTTTACTGTACCCTCAAACTCCTGGGCTTAAGCGATTCTCTCACTTTGACCTCCCAAAGCAGTGGGATTACAGGCATGAGCCACTGCATCCAGCCACTAATTCCCAGACTTTTAAAAAGTAACTCAAAGCAGATGAAACAGAACAAATGTAAATTTCCTTTACACACATATTGTCATTCTTCCCCCTAAAGCTGCTACTAACAAAAATAATATGAAAAAGAGTGAGTGTTAAAATATTTTTAAAAGATTTTTGGTAAAAATATTTGCATAGTTGGTTACATTTTAAATAATTTCAGAACCAAAAATTTTATTTTAAAAATTAATTTTGGGGGCTGGGCACAGTGTCTCATACCTGTAATCCCAGCATTTGAGAGGCCAAGACAGGAGGATCACCTGAGCCCAGGAGTTTGAGACCAGCCTGGGCAACATAGTGGGGCCCTGTCTCTACCAAAAAAAAAAAAAAAAAAAAAAAATTAGCCATGTGTAGTGATTCCTGCCTGTAGTCCCAGCTACTTGGGAGGCTAAGGTAGGGGGATCGCTTGAGCCTGGGAAGTAGAGATTGCAGTGAGTGGAGATTGAGCCACTGCACTCCAACCTGGGCAACAGAGTGAGACTCTGTTAAAAAAGAATAGTAATTTTAAAATGGAATTTAGAGGCAGTGCTTGAAGATGTTTGGTTTTCTTTTTAACACTGCAAGCTGCTGACATGTGATGTATTTACTCCGTCTTTCCCAGAAAATAAGATTCCTGACTTCAGGGATTTTGTTTTTTTATCTCTAGTATGGAGAATGCTACTTGGCACATAGTAAGTGTTTAACAAATGAGTGAATGAATGAGTTAATGGAAAACATTTTATTACTTTTTATGACTTCAAATAGAATCTAGATTATCCCAGTTGTTCTTGACTGCCCCTTATATTGGGGCTAGCTGTGGCTTCTATTTCAAATTTGATTACTATACCCTAAGAAGTTGGGGTAGTGGTTATAGGAGTTATTTAGGATGGAGACATCTCCAGAAGCCTCCTATATATTCTCATAGGTTGTCCGCCAACATCTAAATCTTAATATCATCAGAGTCATAACTGCCTACTGCTCAGCATAGTGCCAAGACATAGTAGCTACCTAATAGAAGTTATGAGATATATATAAATAAAACTAAGTGAAAGAGGTAAGCTCATAAGGCTTTGGTGTAGGTGTATCACTTTTTCCTAATGTAGAATGGTCAAGAAGTAATTGTAACTGTGGAAAAATGGAGAATTATAAAACAAGAATGATGTACAGAAAAAAAAACCACAGTTGAATTTATTCCTTTTCCTCTAAGCTCTTTCATTTATTCATCCAGTTTTTGAAAAATGTTTGTTGAGAGTCTGAAAACTTCCAGGCACTATGTATAAATGAGTATGAAAGATTCCTCTGAATGAACTTTTAGTCTACAGGGGAACATTAATAAGCTATCAAGGCCTTAAGACCTACAGTGCTGTGGGAGCATTTAAGAGAGGCAGCTATAGGCACTGTCCAAAAGAACAACAACAATCTTGAATCAGTACTGATTATTGGCCTTCCAAGTTAAAAAAGGAAAAGTATGTCTAATGTTTTTTCTACCACTTGGATTGGAATGTTCTGTTGAGTTTCTTGGCTCTATAAGGAGTGTTTCCTTAGGCCTGTGTTTGAATATTTCTTATGAACACCCAGCATACACATGGTAAGCGTTTAGTCTTTAATACTTGTCTAGGCCACCAAGATCCCATTTTATGGTTTGAAACAGAATTTAAGAATTAGTAGTTTGCTATGTTAGTGATCTAAGAAATGCCAAGAAAAAGCTAAATACTGAAAGAATTTGGGTCATTTATGATGAAACAAATTAAGGTGGCACTGACAAATTCAGTTTGATTCAACAGAAAATTTTTGAAAGATTCTTGACTGGTTCAATTCTTTGGCCTCTAATGCAAACATTTATAGAAAACTGAATGGGTTTACATTGCCTTTGAAAAGCTACACTGGCCACACGCAGTGGCTCACACCTGTAATCTCCGCACTTTGCGAGGTTGATACTGGAGGATCACTTGAGCCCAGGAATTTGAGAGCAGCCTGGGCACATAATGAGATTTAACTCTACAAAAACATAAACAAAATTACCTGGGCCTGGTGGTGCACACCTGTGGTGCCAGGTACTTGGGAGGCTGAGGTAGGAGCATTGCTTGGGCTGGAGAGGTTGAGGCTGCAGCAAGCCATGATTGCACCACTGCACTCTAAAAGAGCAACAGAGCAAGACCCTCTCTCAAAAAAAAAAAAAAAAAAAAAAAAAAAAAAAAAAAAAAAAAAAAAAAAAGAAAAAAAAAAAAAAAAAAAAAAAAAAAAAGAAAAGAAAAAGAAAGAAAAAAAGAAAGAAAAGCTGTACTGAGACAGCCCCAACCCACCAGAAATAACTTTTGGAGATACACTGTCTCTGCGAGAAGCAGCTCATGAGTTTTATACATTTGCAAAGAGTGGAGCTAGCTCCCAGTATGCAGGTAACATTCAGACTGATGACTTCTTAGATTCAAGGCTAACTAAGAATCTTTCTGGTAAAATGAAATGGGCCAAAAGACAAGGCAGGACATTCTTCACGGAACTGGAGACACTTGGAATTCAATGCCCAGGCATCACACATACATTAAGATACAACACCTGCCCCCCGGGTAGCAGTGGACAGAAGCAGCTAATTAAAGCCTAATAACTACTGACCAATAAATAGTAAAACAAAATACTTAGTACCTTCTTAAGCATGTTACTCATCTATCAGAAGCAAGAAAGAAAAAAAGAAAAAGAAACAAGAGGCAGGCTTTATTAAGAGAAATAATCTTTTAAAAAACTTATTTTTAACCAAGATCAGGTAAAGTAAGTGATATTAAATAAGAATTTCAGGAGTTTCTATATATCTTTAAAAATTTTCCATTAATAGATATGTTTAAAACATCCTGTTGAATTGTTCCATATGGCATGGTGGTAGAGGAAAGACTCTAATCTGCTAATCCTGGAAGTACTGCTGTAAGTGGAAAAACAATTCCAGGTTGTGGACCCTATAATTTTAGGATGAGTACTTCTCTTTCCTGAATTGTCTGCAGGTGAATCACTGAGTGGCGTTTTCTGCCACTGCATGTTTTGGACATAAGTGTCCTGTCAATCAACATAACCTTCCTTATCAAACAGCCACAAAGAATCTGCCTTCCATGGTTTTTTTTTAAGCCCTCATTTTAGAGGCCTAAGATAAATGCGTCCTACAGCCACAATGGGGTAGTGACCTGCCACCAAAGGCAGAATCTGACTGCCATTTAACAGCTTTAGGGAAGGAAGACTGTAGGACTTGAGGACTGTGGTTCAGACCCCTGGAGGCCTCTTCAAAGTCCTGCAGTAAGAAGTCAGGGCTTGTGAGGGATGCCTAGCATGGAGGAGTCTTGGGCTTTCATCCTTTCTGCCAGGATAGACTGCTTTCACATGTTTTAGAAACTCACCCCCAAGGTGGGGTTCTAGCTGACTGCCTGTTCTTCAGTTACATATATATAGAAATAGCAAAATCTTTTGTGTGGAAGTATTTTTGTGTGTAAACATGTTTGTTGGCGTTCTTTTGAATTTATACATGAAGACAAACATTCAGAATATATTTTTCCCTTTTAAAAGATATTTTGAAATGGATATATTCTAATGTTTTCTAGAGAAGCACCATTTTACTGACAAAATTAATATAGGATTAATTTAAATTTCAGTACATTTGTTTTTTCAGTACTTTTTTTTTGGTAAAAGCTTTGCAGATGGGAGATAGTAATAGTATTTTTTTCTCTGCAAACCAAATTGTAATACTGGGAAAAAAAAAGGAGTGTGTTTGTTTATTTTATCTCTATCTAAGTATTAATTATAATAGAGTAGAGTAGGCACAATAATTTGTACAATATAGGTTAGTAGCTAACAACAACTTATGATTATACATGAATGTACGCTTGGAGGACTTTTTATCTGCATTTCTAGCCTACTGTACCCCAATGCCTAAGAAATATCTGTCACTTAGACGTGCTGAATATATATACAGTTTAGAGTCAAACAGACATGGGTTACCTCTGCCTATGTCACCTTGCATAAATTGAACCTTATTTTTCTCTTCTGTATATTGGAG